ATTTGAGAATATGATTTATTATGAAAGCATGATTAAATTGTGTTATTTGATCAATGAGAATAGAAGCATATTTGTTGAGTGAAATGTATATATAAATTGCTATGTTGCAAACCAAGCATGATGATATATTCTTGAATAATTCATGTTAGTTTATACATGATTTAGAAGCATGTTATAGAGCATTTTGACATTTCACATGAGTCATATTTCAAAAATGCATAAGGGGCCAACGTGAGCCCAAGAATACTTTCAAAAACCATAAGCATGTGGTATAACATTCTTTGATGCATTGAGAAGTAGTAGAATTGTTGCATGCATGAGATTGATGCATGAGAGATATATTTATGTATTATTTATATCGGTAAGGTTTTGGAGGATACCGTTTGGACTATGTTTCTCTCGGAAGATATTTATGGACATTGCGGTCCCAGTATATGTAACGCGGCGTATTCCCACGTAATGAGGTTGGAAACTTCCCGCCGGGCTTGGAATCCTGGTTAGGGGCTGTGCACACTAATAGTTCGATACCTGATTCCAAAGAGTTTGAACTACGAGATTGGTTCCGTAGACGGTAGGAGATATTGGGTTGGAATTATGCCGTTCCCGATGGGGTAAGTCGCACTTCTGTGAAACCCTAAGCCGTCTACGAATATAAGAGAAAGAAAGAGAGTCAACAGAGACTAAAGTATGAGAGTCAATATAGACTCGATAGAAAGAATGAGAGTCAAGAGAGACTCAAGAAAGTAACAAAGAAAGAGACCTCCACAAAAAGTACTCTATTTTATAAAATAGTGTATGAATATATATATATATATATATATATATATATATATATATATATATATATATATATATATATATTGTTGCACGAGATTGCATATGATTATATTATTGCACTAGATTGCATATGAACATGAGTATATTGTTGCACGAGATTGCATAAGAGTATGAGTACATTGTTGCACTAGATTGCATACGAGTATGATTATATTGTTGCACGAGATTGCATAAGAGTATGAGTATATTGTTGCACTAGATTGCATACGAGTAAGATTATATTGTTGCACGAGATTGCATATGAATATGAGTATATTATTGCACTAGATTGCATACGAGTATGATTATATTGTTGCACGAGATTGCATATGAATATGAGTATATTGTTGCACGAGATTGAATAAGAGTATGATTATATTATTGCACGAGATTGCATATGAATATGAATACATTGTTGCACTAGATTGCATAAGAGTATGATTATATTGTTGCACGAGATTGCATATGAATATGAGTATATTGTTGCACTAGATTGCATGAGAGTATGATTATATTGTTGCACGAGATTGCATAAGAGTATGAGTATATTGTTGCACTAGATTGCATATGAGTATGATTATATTGTTGCATGAGATTGCATAAGAGTATGAGTATATTGTTGCACTAGATTGCATGAGAGTATGATTATGTTGTTGCACTAGATTGCACAAGAAGCATGACCATAATGTTATACATGATTGTATGCGAATGAAGCATCGTAAGAGAATTATTTAAATGAGAAGCGTAACTTAAGGTATCCCTTTGAGCATGATTGTTATAATGTAGTAGAAGTTCTACTTAATGAATTATGTGATAAGAGTGTGGAAGTATGTGAACACCTGTTATATGGTGTTTTAGTATGATCCTATCTGTAAGCATGAATTGCTTGATAAGCTACTTGAGAAGTCTATATGTTGACAAATCTACGTGATCAGTCTTATACATATATAAGTATGCCAACTGATATTATAGGGTGCAAGCATCTAGAAAGAATGTGATAAATCTAAAGATTATTTGAGATTAGCTTATTGCTATAAAGATATCAAATGCTTTTAAAGTATATGTTAGAATGCTTTACATGGTTGAGTGTGGTTATACTTAGCTTTGTGCTAACGGGTGTTTTTCCTGTTTGTCTATGTGTTGCTTGCAAAACCCCTTTCAGGTGGGCCCAGCAGTGAGAAGATATCGAGTTAGATTAGTCTCTTAGTTTGAGATGTCTAAACTCTAGTTTTTATTTATGATGATGTTATGGATTTAGAATTATGACTTCATGATGGTGAATTGTAGTAGACTGTATTGGGGTGACGTTTTTTCCCCTTACTTTTCCAGTATTTATTCTTAGTTCCCAGACTTAATAGTATTTGTAGTTTTTACCCCTTTTAGCTTGTGCAATCACTCAAGAGGGGTGGCTGTGGCGGTGACACTCCCACTACTTATCATCTAGATTTCCGCTGCTTAGTTTATGTTAATGACTGTTTAGAGATGTAATTAAGAGTTATAAAAGTGAGGTGTTACAGTTGACACCTGCGTTGTTGAGGCTAGACCTGACATATAGCCAAGCCATCATTGCCTCCAAGCAATCAGCAAACACACTCTCTTCTCTTTCTCTCATCGTTTTCCTTAAACTTTCCATTTTCTCTTTTCTCTTTTTTTTTTCAATTCTTTTCATTCTCTTTTTCCTTTTTGTTTTTTTGTTTTTTTGTTTTTTTTTCATTTTTCTCTCTTTTTTTTTTTTGTTTTTTTTTTTGTTTTTGTTTTTTTTTTTTTTTTTTTTTTTTAATTCTGTTTCATTTTTCATCAAAAGCATAAGAACATCAAGTAAACAGGAACCTCAGTTCAAGGTGGGTCATAATCCTCAAAGAACACCGAGGAGTACCCCGCGACAGACACTGAAGAACAGAAACAGAGGCACATGAGCAAAGAAACCAGAGGCGTGACACTTCAGAGTAAAAAATCCATGGAGTAGGAACAGAGGGGTCAACCTAACCCTTAAGCTCAGGCAATACAGATTCTAGGACCAAATACCTAAAACCCTCGGCTAAGCACCATTCAAGACAGCAGAACATAACACGGAAAATATCCCGAAACCCGACCACTGCCGAAATGGCCAATCCATAGCAAAAATCACCCCCCCCCCCCAATTACGCACCAAGGCAGCAGTCCCACCCACAGACTCAGAGTATGAGAGGTTGAGCTTTATAGAGCCATCCGGAGGGGGATCCCATCTAATAGCATGAACCACACGCCGCGGGGCAGTGGAATCTATGTAGGACAGAATGACAGACCAGTTTGGCGGTAGAATGTGCTCCCTCGGCCACCGCCTAAAGAGACACTCTGCCATCCCTTTGGCAACGCCATACACCACTCGAGGCACACTCGGTGATCCTCTACCATGCAAACATGCGTTTCTATGTTTCCATAACTCCCAAAGGATGAGATAAGGTAACCTGCAAACAACAAAGGCAACAAGCTGGTTATGTGAAACCACCCGCCTCCACCCAGTCAACAGCGTCCGTAGACCACGATGACTGAATCGCAGGCCGAGTGATCCCATAAAAAATCCCCATACAGCGCTGGCAGTATCCCCCGTATAAAAGATGTGATCAACGGTTTCCCTAACTGGGTTAGTGTAGCACCAGCACCTAGAGACCATAAGGTGCCCGAATCTAGCCATAACATCATCAGTGGGTAATCGACCACGTAATACATGCCAAGCAAGAAAGAAAACCTTAAAGGGCAGATGCTTATGCCAACAATGACTCAAAAGAGGATTAGAAATCACTGGTTCAGGTCTTAACAAAGATTTTGCAGAGGAGAAAGAGAACAAACCGTCCGTAGCTACCCGCCAAATAGGAATGTCAGCCACTCGTTGGCCCAGACGGGACATGTCCGCCTCCAACCTAGCTGGCAGAAGGTCATCATAGGCCGACAAGTCCAATTCCCCGTCCTGAATGTAGTCAGACAGCAAATCACCAGAGTACTCAACCCCTGGGAAGGGGTAAAGGTGCCCTAGCGTGCCAAGTCCAGACCAGTTATCCCACCAGAGGTTAACATCGCCGTGAGTTAGGCGCAAACCCAAGACTGCCTCCACCTCATTCCTGACGCTGAGCATGCGCTTCCAAGTGTGTGAATCAAAACTTCGCACTAATTTCGCCACCGGGTGAACACGGTTGCAATACTTAGCGCTCATGAAACTTCCCCACAGTGAAAATGAATACGGGTGAACACGGTTGCAAATACACCTTGCGAAAATGAAACTGAATAGCAAGTCTTTCACATATTGAATGTATATGTTCAAATGAAAATGTATTTGAATTAGAATGAAACTTTAGTTGTGCTGTAATGAACTATAGTACGCATAAAATGAAATTGAAAAGCAAGTCTTGCATATTAAGTGCATATTGTCAAATGAAATTATGGTTGAATAAGGATGATATTTTAGTGATGTTGTAATGAAACTACATTGTGTATACAATGAAATTGAATAACATGTGTCACATATTGAGTGTATATTATTAAATGAAATTGTACTTGAATTAACATGTTAATTTAGTGGTGTTATAATAAAATGGAATAAGGTCCAAATTGATCACTGAATGTAACCTGAAAATGTAATTAGGCCACTGAACACCCCAAATATATGCAATTTCATCTGATAGTATGTTACCATCTATTTCATAAGGTTGCTTGCTTATGTGGATGGTAAGTTAGCATTTTTAATAATTTTTAATAATAAACTAAAAAAAAAAAAACAGCAGGTGGCCGTCGGCCACCCCTTCCCTGCCTCCGTCCTCCTTTGTCTCCAGTTGGAGACGAAGACAAATCTCTTCGTCTCTGACCGGAGACGAAGGAAGGGGAATAGTTTTTTTTTTTAATTTTTATTTTTAAAGTTTATTATTAAAAATTATTTAAAATGCCAACTCACCATCAACGTAATCAGGTAACTTGATGAAATTGATAGTTACCTGTTATTGGGTGAAATTATATATATATTTAAGGTGTTCAGTGATTTAATTATATATATATATATTTTTTGTTCAGTGACCTAATTACATTTTTAGGTTACGTTCTATGGTTAATTTGAACTTTTTTTTTCTAATAAAATTATGATATATGTAAAATGAAATTGAATAATAGGAGAGTATTATGTATCCTAACAAAATTTACCTTCTACATTTAGTAACAGAACTGATCACAGTAAAATTTGCCTTTGGAAGTAGCCTGACCACTGCGCTCACTGTGTTATATGCCGTTATCTTTCACCTCAGACCAGAGTAACTGTATCCCGTTGTTTCCTCATCGCCATGTCTTCAACTGCACAACAGCTTGAATCACAAAATGGATCACCGGAATCCGCCCCCGCAGAATCGCCAACACCACCGCTGAACGCTGACTCGAAACCGGCTGCACCATCGTCCACGGAGCCCGATCCAGACGACGCTACTATTCAACCAACGGGACCTCCACCAGTTGGCGAGGAAGATCCGAAACCGCCGGAGATGAAGGACAATGAAATTCATTCCGGTGAAGCTGAACCAGCCAATATGGAGCCTTCCGAATCCTCGATCCAATCGGATGAACCAGCGAATCATTCAGATCTCAAGACTATTGACTCTGAAGACCGTACTGGCCAACCAAATGTAGTCGATAGCAATTCGAAACTTCTGAAAGGTGATGGTAACCGAACTTTCACGATGAGAGAATTGTTGAATGAATTGAAGAATGGTGGTGAAGATTCCGAAGCGCGCGACGCTGGCACCCCTCGCAGGTGTTCGCTCCTCTCTCTTTCCCTCTTTATAAATCAACTGCATTAAGGCCGTAGAAGGATTTATCAACTTAATTGAATTTGAGAAAAAAGATTCTCACTCTTTTGAAGTGCTTTGACATTCAACATTTCGTGCTACTAATACATTTTGTAGCTTTAGTTTACTGGTGAACAAACCGTGTGTTTATGAATTATGATATGCGTTTGGCTTAATTTTGGCCATTCTTAATGAATTTAAGTTAATTCCTAGTTGGACAGGATGAAACCCGGTTTCCCATCTCTATCAACTTGATAATAAGACACAGAATAGAAAGGGTTTGTAGCTATTTTTGAATCAAAACTGCTGCCAGTTTTTACCAATAACTAAGTACCAGACTACTAATAACCACATTGTGCATTACTTCATTTCATGTTTGGCAGATTTTTTCTTGGTTGCAGCCTGTACCGTGTAACTAAACTTAAAAAAAAGCCCTTCTATGTTTTCCAATAATCCAATGTGTTGTGTATTTTTATATATTTATTTGAAAATCAGAAGCTTATCACTTCAATTTTCTTTTCATTTGAATTTCCCTCCACTGTGGCCCCCCAAAAACAATCACAGTCAGGAAAGCAATCGCACAGATCACACTGATGCTGCCTTGGAGCTGATCAACAATGTCACAGGTGCTGATGAGGAGGGCCGGTCTCGCCAACGAATCCTTACATATGCTGCCCGGAGGTAAGCATCTCATCTGGTGTACAGATAGTTTTACTGGTTTAAATAGTGAGGTCTTAAGTTTATGACATTGGAATTCAGAACCACACAAGTTTTAGCACAAATATACTGTGCATTAAACTCAAGTTCCTTTCAAGTCTGATGTCTGCCATATCATTATGGTTAAAATAAATATCATTCAAAAAGAAATTACATTTTGCTACTGCCTAAGCTCTACACCAAACCTAAAGGTTTTTCCATTGATGCTAAACAGGTATACTATGAATATATTATTTGTCAATGCATTTCAATGAAATTCCTTTTCTTTCTATTGGTGCTTTTGTGTCTTTCTCTTATTGGTTAGTTAGAGGATTTCTGCATCTGTTTCTTGAAATTTGAATCATTGGAAATAGAATATTTTATGAGCACATCTTCTGACTTTGGTGCAGGTATGCTAGTGCACTAGAGCGAAATCCAGAAGATTACGATGCACTCTACAACTGGGCACTAGTTCTTCAGGTATAGTTATTTTCATTTAGGTTTTTTCCTTAAGCTTCTCTTCCTGACATTTTTCTTTTTGACCTCCCTGCTTTGGACTTTCACTAACAAAGCAGTGATTCTGTAAATTTGAATTAATTTGTCTCTAAACCATATAATTTTAATGCAAAACAAATGATCTTGACTAGGTGTCTAAATGTTTGGAGAAGCATCTTATTGAAGCACACTTTTTCAACTTCTTGATAACTTGAATTTGAATTCCTATAATGCATAATTAATGCTTGAATACTCTTATTCAACAATTGTTTGCTCCTACATTATACATGCTGCTTTTTTTTTTTTTTTTTTTTTTTTTTTTTTTTTCTTGCAGGAAAGTGCTGACAATGTTGGTCCAGATTCTGGTACACCTTCAAAAGATGCTTTGCTTGAAGAGGCATGTAAAAAGTATGAGGAGGCAACTCGGCTTTGCCCTACACTAAATGATGTAAGCATATAGACCTTCATTTGGAGTGCCATTTTTGACAACTACTACATTAACTCACTCCAGAAAGTTCACAATTCAATATGTAGATGATTGCTGTTAGAGTTTGAGGTGTAATCATAATGTATACCTGAAATGTGTTCATTGAGAGTGCAGGCTTATTATAATTGGGCTATAGCCATCTCAGATAGAGCAAAAATGCGGGGTCGTACAAAAGAAGCTGAAGAACTTTGGAAACAGGTAAATTTTTAGCTCTATTAAGGAACCATGCTGTATGCTTAGTCATTTGTCAAATATCTTCCTCCTTTTATCCACATTGAGTCAAATGTATACCTTAAAAAAATTTATATACACTATGATAACGAGATTTTTCACTTTGACTCAGTTCTTTACTAGTGAATTTTATATGCAAATTTATTCAACAGTAATGAGTGAACAACTTGTGGTGCAAACCTTGTTACTCTTCTTTCTGCCTTTGTTTTGTTCCTGGTTCACATTATGATTAATTTTAATCAACAGAAAATCTTTAATGTTTTCCAGCTATTTTTAACCCTTGCCCTTGCAATTTTCAGGCAACTAAAAACTATGAAAAAGCCGTTCAGCTCAATTGGAACAGTCCTCAGGTAACCTCTAACTCAGCCCAACTTACCCATGTTAAAACACTTTTTTTTTGCTTTCCAAATTCTATTTGTAGGTTCTATCTACCAAGGGCCTACCTCATCTTTATATCATAATTTCCCATGCCCTTATATGTCAGTTCTTTGTTACTTTTCTTTTTATAGCTTGCAAAATTGTTGTCTCATTATTCTGGTGCAACTATATTTTTGATAGTTTCTGAACATCTCTTGATCTGAGTCATCATGCAAGCCTTTTTAGCTGGCTAATGCTGCTTTTTTGTTTTTATTTCAAAGTATTTCCCTTCTCTTACTTAAATTTTTAATCCAGGCACTCAACAACTGGGGACTGGCTCTGCAGGTATCCCTACTTAGTCATTGCTTAATATTCTTCAATATATGTTTACTCTGTTAGAAGAGGGAATTCATGCAGCTGTGCTGTTATTTCATAATTATTGTTTTCTTGTCTCCAGGCCAGTGATCTGTAACTTTGAATCTTACCATATGTTTTATATTTTTCTTGTGAAGGAACTTAGTGCAATTGTCCCTGCTCGAGAAAAGCAAACAATTGTTAAAACTGCAATCAGTAAGGTACATATGTTTATTCAAATTAAGGACCATTGCAAAGTATAAGCTGTGAAGCCATTCTAGAATTAGGCAATATTGAATATTCATTTGTTTTTGCCTTTTTGGAAATGACACCATCAGTGTTGAATGCAGTTCCGGGCTGCGATTCAACTGCAGTTTGATTTCCATCGGGCAATTTACAACCTAGGGACTGTTCTGGTTAGTTTCCTACTTCAATTCTTCTTCTGTAGAGCTTTATTTATTTTCTTGCCCAGTTTGCCTCATTCATCTCAAGAAACTAATATAAGAAAATAGAATTTTTTAGTAAAAAAGAAGTTGATTTATTACTGATTACATCTTTTTGCCCCACCTGTCTCAGTATGGGTTAGCAGAGGACTTGTCAAGAACAGGGGGAGCCACAAATTCTAAAGATGTTTCCCCAAATGAGTTGTACAGTCAGTCTGCAATATATATTGCTGCTGCACATGCACTCAAACCAAATTACTCGGTAATGTATCACCTCTTAAATTAGACATGGAAAGCATACTGCACATTCCTGTTTGTTTTCACTATGAACAAATTTGCCCTAATGTTATTGCTGCCAAATATGACCAAGGATATGATTTTGGTTTCTGATTAATGCTAATGAAATGATAAATGCAAAAGAAGTGTGTAACTACATTTCTGCTCTCCCATCTTCTGTAATTAATTAGGGGTGCGAGAATATTGTTATGTTTGTACACCAATTTAGTGTACCATGAGTGAACCTTTACTGATTTGTTTTACAGGTTTACACAAGTGCTCTGAAACTCGTCCGTTCAATGGTATGTGTTTTAAAATGCTCAGATGTTGATTAATTACATTGTGGTGATTAAAATGGCTTGAGAATTCTAGCTGAGATAAACCACTCTTCTATTTCATGGTTTTCAGTTGGGTCTTTCAGTTTTCACAAATACTCCCTCCGCCCCATTCCTTTTTAGTTTGTCCCAAAATAGTGTCATCTTTCCAAAATTGAACATAACTATCACTGTATTCCCAATTTACCCTTTTGACTTTTCAAATTTCTAGAGGTAAGTACAATTGTACTTTGTACAAATAACACATACTTTTGAGGGGCAAAATTGAAAAGTTAGTAGCATTTGTTATGTTGTATTAAAACCCGTGCAAAAAGCAAATGAGACAATCAATTAAGGACGGAAGGAGTAATAGGAAAATTGACAGTCAAAAGTTGTTTCATTTTTTCATATATATATATATATATATATATATATATATATATATATATATATATAGGGGCACGCTCTAATGCGAACCAGTGCCCAGGAGAGAAATCAGAGCGCATGATATCTGTCCACATGTCCAGATTTAACGGATCAGAAACACTGATTTAAAAAAAAAAATGCGGTGGCATTTTTGTAAATAATTGAACATGCAAGTAAAATGTATTATAAGTGCAAATAGCAGTTTCATATAGTACACCTGAGTGCAAGTAAAATGTATTACAAGTGCAAGTAAAATGTATTACAGGTGCAAGTGAAATGTACACTGAGCATCAATACTAAGTGCACCTGACGTTATAATTAGTTGCACCTAATGTTATCATTAAGTGCACCTAGGTGCACGAATGTTAACAAGGTAAATTACTTGCACTTGTAAGTGAAAATAGGTGCACTTGTAAGTGATTTTACTTGCACTTGTAAGTGAAAATAGGTGCACTTGTAAGTGATTTTACTTGCACTTTATACTTGCCAAGGTGCACCAAAGTTCGAGTTATTTACGAAAGTGCCATGCGTCGTTTTTTTAAAATTACATATGATTCGTTGATCTGGATACGTGGACGGCTGTGAGTAGTTCTTATTTCTCTCCTGGGTGCACCGTTCTCACCTGAACGCGATCCTCTCTCTCTCTCTATATATATATATATATATATATATATATATATATATGTATGTATATATATATATATATATGTATGTATATATATATATATGTATGTATGTATGTATGTATATATATATTTATTAAATTTTACTTCACACAGATTTTTACCCCCAACAGTAATGAATACTTTAGGTTGAAGCTTCAGATTCAATTTGTGAGGCAATCAAAGCCCGCCAAACTCAATCTTTTTGGCTTCTCTCCGTTTCAGAATAAACATAAATATGTAGAGCTAATTTATTTAGAGACATTCTATCATTGGTTAATTCCAATTACTGACGATGGGGCAGAGTTTGATTTATTAAATTAGGATAAACTTGTAGTGAATGTCTAGACAGTGGAATCATTCATTACAAAGTTCTAACTGGGTCATCCATGTATTTCCAGCTGCCTCTACCGTATCTGAAGGTTGGATATCTTTCTGCCCCACCTTCTGGAAATCCACTTGCACCACATAGTGATTGGAAACGTTCTCAATTTGTTCTGAACCAGGAAGGACTACACCAGGTAATGAAGTATCCATCTTCAATTATTGTAGTAAACGTGAGATATCTCAATGAGTACAGGGCTACAAGCTTGATTATTGCTTATCAAGTCAGTACTTCAGAGATGCAAGCCCCACTTTTTTGAAAGCCACAGAGCCATGCTCTCTTAGTTGTTAAATGTGCTTGTACTAGTCATCTTTGGTCATCCAAGCTTTTAGGAAAACATAATTGTTCTGTTCCCATCACAAAGCATGCCTATCTCAATCAATTCAAAATGCAATTTTTAATCTGTTAGTACAGTATCTGTCCTTAGCTGCATTCTTTTAGGAATTCCATATTTTATTCTGTCCTGAATCCTTGTTGTTTTGAACAGATTAGTAAAGTTGAGCAAAGACGAAGCCTCTCTTCAAATTCTGGAGATAGCACAAGTCCTAGTAGACAAGCAATCAAAGTTGATGTGCCGGATATTGTGTCTGTTTCTGCATGTGCTGATCTGACATTACCGCCTGGGGCAGGCCTTTGCATTAATACAATTCATGGACCAGTCTACATGGTAATATATATTTTTCCCATCCTTATGCAAGTATTTTATACTTTTCCCAGCTAATTTATAATGTCAAACTCAATCTTCTGAAATCTTAAAGGAAAAACATCATTTTTCATTGTGTTTTCTTGTACATTTTATGATAAGGATGTCATTTGAATCTCAGATTGCTGATTCATGGGAGTCCTTGGACTGGTGGCTTGATGCTATTCGCTTAACTTACACAATTTATGCACGGGGCAAGAGTGATGTTTTGGCAGGTATAATAACTGGGTAATTTTGTCTAGGTAACTCCATGGGGAGGACTAGCCTGAATTGATGAAACACCGATTGTCTGCTGCTCATGTACACATGTACATTATTTGCCCGTTGATACGCATTCCTATTTCCCTCTATGGATGAATGTAGTTTATAGAATTACACCTTGAGTTGATGTCCAAATGTTTTGACTTTTTCAATACATGATTCTTGAACTGTGTTATTGATTTTTAATTTTATTTTAGAATTTTCTCTACCTTAGTTTGTTGGAATCTTTAGGGCATATTCAGGATGTGGAAAAATGAAAAATTGTGTTTAGATGGAAGATAGTAAAACTTTTTTTATTCATCAGGTCAAGAAAACTGAATTGACATATAATTAGATAAATTGTAATGACATCATGTTACTGAATTGCATATATGTATTCATTGTCACTTTCTGTGATGCCCATTATGTTATTGAATTGGTCATGATCAATTGTTGATCTACAATATAATATTAATATAATTGCATCTAGTCCTTCCCAAAAATACCAAGTAAGCTAGTTAGGGTTTAGTTATTTAAGAAGGCAGGAATTTCATGCAAATAGGAGGGTAGACTTTAGCCAAAGCCAGAATTGATGCAGGCAGAATCCAGAGACCCTCACCACAGATCATCCCAGAAGCAACTGCTGCAACCATCAACTCTGCCTGCTTTGACTTCAGCTTATGCCACACATACACAACCACACTCCCAACACACATATCTACCCCCAAGTTCCCTCCAATTATGAATGGCACTGCCATCGCCATCGGCACTGGTATCCATTTCCCTATTCTCTGTGGGCAAACGTCTTTCGCCAAGTTCATCATCACCGCCAACCCGAAAAACCCATAGCACAGCTGCAAGCAGTGCTGGGGCAGAGCCGAAAAGCCTTCAACACTCACACTAGCCAGGTTTCTGTATACTAGGGCAAATGGGGCCTTGTATTCTCCATTAGGGTTGCCCACATCAAAGGCATTGTAGAACAAGAAGAAGCTCAACGGCGCAACCACACAGCCTATGATAGTGCCGATGGCCTGGCTGAGAAACATGGCTCTAGAGGAGGTGAGAGTGAGATGGCCTGTTTTGAAATCTAGCATGAGGTTAACGGAAACGTTGAGCACCGACTTGACTAGGCCACAACCAGCTAGCCCGGCCACCACACCGTTTTCTTTGCCGCCCGATGCTGCCATCACGAAAAGCCCGACTTTGGCATAGTTGAATGCCATGTTCATGTCAGTCAAGCCAGCCCCGTAAGCATTGCAGAATGCTAAAATGGGGGCGAGTGCGTAGACTAGGATTACCCAGTACCATTTGACCTGGTGAAAGATGATGGGAATCACCCCCACGCCTATGATGGTGAGGACTATGTACCCAATTACTCCCACCCACATTGGAATGCCTTCTCTAACGAACATTTCATCTTTCATTAGATCATCATGGCTTTTGTTCTGCTCAACTCTACCTGCAACAACAACAAATTTAGCTTAGTGGATCAAAGGGAGGGGTAGGTGGGCCCTTCAGTTGAATCCTTGGACATAAAATAATAAGAGACTTAAAATTAGAAATTTACCTGAAACTCGTCTTCTATTTTTGATTCTTCCTTGAATACTTAATAAAGTAAAACACAGTATCTTGGTAAAATGGTAAAGACCATCACCTAGGAGGAGAGCGATGGAGATAAATACCTGCCCATATATATATATATAAGCTTAGGTTGTTGTTAATAAAGAATTGAATTGAAGATCGAGATGGAGAGGATCGGACCTTGTAGGCATTAAGGGTTTTCATACTGGATTGTGGTAAATTAGCAGGAAACCAATCTCCCTTACGCTTCTCCATAAGAGGCCACATCACTCCCCATGAAAGCACAGCTCCAAGAAGCATAGACACATTCACTATATGAGGGCATATCATCCCTGTTCCCACGTACGTCATACTAAAATCAAAGTAGAACCTGCAGGCCAGGCCAGGCCGCCCGGAATTTTATTTTATATATATATATATAATTGCAATTTCATATATTTATATATAAGAAAAAATGCATGTGTTCTAATACTAAGAATGGAACATCAATCATATCATATCATACGTTTTCTTCAAGGCTTGCAATCCAAAAGTAGGAAAATGCGAAAACCCACAGTCGGCATTTCCACTGAAGAACCACTGAAAGAATGCCCACAAGAAACTATACGACATGAACTTCACAAAACCCTTCACTTGTTTTCTGCAAATTCAAAACCATATCAAATTTCAAAACTCTCTCTCTCTCTCTCTCTCTCTCTCTATATATATATATATATATATATATATATATATATATATATATATATATATATATATATATATATATATATATATATATATGCTTGCTTGAAACTTGATTAAAAAACTATGGTTAACAAATATAATATAATAATAATAATAATCACCTGGCCATCTTATCATTCTTGGCCTGAAACCCATTAATGAGAACTGCAGTTGCCATTCCAGTGGGAAAGGTCAACTTGTAGTCGATTATCAAGATCTATCAACCAACCAAATGAAACTTAATTACTTCTTCTTCAATTCGATCATATATAATATTATCTTAGCTAGCTTAGCTTGTAATTAAATTAGATAGAGTTTTGATGCATGCATGCATGCATAATTGCATGTATATATATACGTACCTTACTGAGAGGAATCAATACAAAAAGGCCAATGAAACAAACAACAAGCAGGTATGCAGTCAACCAACCCATCGCAGGTTGTTTATAACTACTGGGCGAATTCCCAACCGCATCCACTCCCGTTTGCTCGTATGATTTCTTGTTCATCCCCAACAAGTAAGATCCTAGTCCACCTGATCGATATGATATGATATGATATGATATGATGATCCCCGCCCAGGCCAAACAATTGAAACTAATTAATTATATATAAATAATGAGCTATGATGAGGTACGTACCTCCGAGTGCAATGTTGTAACACGCGACGGCGCAGGTTTGGATGATGGTGTTTTCTTGGCGCGTGAGAGGCGCGGATTTGATCCCCAGCTTCCCCGCCACCTTGCTCCATGTTCGCACCAGAATGAAGCCCAGAAGGGCCGCCGACACGTTGAAATTGGGAGTTATCCCGGTCGTCAGGCACAGCTTCATGCCTATTACGCTATAAATGCACCCTATTATGCTGCTTACTATCAATCCTCGTACAGTGATCTGTCTCCTCCATGGCGCCACACGCGCCGCCGCCGCAGCCGTCACGCCCCTATCCGCTACTTCTTCTTCCTTCTCCTCACCTTCCTCCTCGTAAATGCCCAACGCTTCTTCTTTCTTCTCCCTCTCATCACCCACGGATTCTGCTGGCATTATTTGCATCATTCTCGCCCACTACAATTTAACCCTTTATATGTTTAATAACAAAATCAACAATTAGATGTTATAGGCTTATAGCCATAGCTATGGTATGTATATCCTACCAGATATGAATGAAGTTTATATATAACTATAATACCTATTCAAACATGTTTTTTTTTTTTTTTTTTTTTTTTTTTTTTTCTAAAATTTTATTTTATAATGTAGTATCTGTTCATAACTACTTTCTCAACTTACTGAAGCACTGCCGGTCAATGGCTTCTTATCATTTTTATTATTAATTGGTTAAAAGCAACTTTAAAAAAAAATTATTTAGTATTTTTGTGTGTTTAATAGTACTTTTAAGGTAACTTTTAAATATATAAATTTTATATACTAATACTAAATTTAATAGTACATTATAAAAAATAGAATTAAAAATAATTTCAGTTAAATCTGGTTAATTGAACTTAACACATAGAATGTGATGGATGGAGTAATATATAAGAATGAGTAAAGAGGATCATTTCGTATATCATAAGGGAACGACAATTGAATCTCAACGAAACTTCATATCATAAAGTCGTAATATCGAGATTTGAATCTGACTAAAATATGAGTGTGAGGGATATATATTAACAAAAATATTATAAGGGAACAAGAATTGAATCTCAACGAAACTTCATATCATAAAGTCATAATATCGAGATCTGAATATGACTAAGAATATGAGTGGGGGCGATATGTATTAATAATTGTGTGGTAAGCAGTTTAATAATACAGAGCACAACTGTAGCAGTGTATAGCGACCAATTGTTTGAGGTTCATATGGGTAATGTCTTGCTTTGCTTTTCGATCTAATCCCAGAATCGAGAACGACTTTTGAAGATGAACCTTAAACAATAATCTAAAATACTAATTATCAATCCTAAGATTCTCCCAAGGAATTGAACCAGAGTTGATTGGTTCTAAACTCAACTGGTACTAAGTTCTCATATTATTGATTAGCGTGACAACACATTAAAATATTTTAAAGGTAAAATAGTAAAATTGTGTATTGTAAAAAAATTCACCTCTTCCATCGATTTTGGATAACTTTTGTAATTATTACAAATTTTAAACACATATTCACTAAAAGTTTATAATGTATCCATTAATATGTTATGATGCATCCGATTTGAATGCACTTTTATAGATTATGAATGCATTGTCACATATATTGAATACACTCTCAAACTTTATTTAATGCAGTTCAAATTTTGAAATAATTACGTGGTCTTTTATTTGTGTTTTTTTTTTTCCTTAATACAACTAGCATATACTATTCCGCATTTTTAAAAGTGTCGATTGATCTTATCAATCTATATTGGTTGATCAAGGGTTAGAAATTAAGAAAAAATGTGGTAACATTTAGGTAATTATGACAATGCATTTGAAAACATTTGATAATGTATCCGCGAAAAGTTGACAATACACGTAAGATCTATAATAGTGCACTCACATATATGCACTATTAGTTATCTATGAATATACTATTAAGCATTTCTAAATATATCATCATAATTACGAAAATGTCATCATATATTTTTCTCATATTTTCAATTCTTTAATTTTCAACTAATGATCAATATAGATAGATGAGTGAGATTAATATATGGAAGCATGTTCTCATTTGAACATGCACCCTATATATATAAGGTGCTTTATACACAGTTACTTTATATACATTATATATTGTGCTTACTTTTTGTAAATAAGACAAAAACTTGTGTGAGACCATCTCATGGATCCTTGTTAGTGAGACATGTCAGGTTAAAATGAAATGTAATACTTATACTAGTAAATGTAATTCTAAATCAAGAACAAAATATTTATTACTTATATGGAAAAATGTAATACTTTTGAGAAAAAATATAATACTTTTACATTTTTCATCAAAAGTATTACATTTTCCTTTATAAGTTCAACATTACTTATAAGGGTAAATAATTTTTTTTTTTTTTTGATAAAAAAAGTAATACTTTTACATCAAAATATAAAAGTATTATATTTGTTCTCAAAAGTATTATGTTTTCTTGTATAAGTAACAAACATTTTAATAGAGTCAGTAGTACTAAAAAAAACATTTTATTCTTGATTTAGAATTGCATTTGCATATCAACCGACCCGACATGCCTCACGGATAAAGATCCGTGAAACGGTCTCACACAAGTGTACAATAATATTTTTTTTTTTACCCTTCCTTTTTGCTTCCGCTTCAAATTGTTAATTAAGATTGTTAAATATAATAGAGTTAATTCTTTTTTTTTTTTTCTAGATTTATAGGTGACAATCCACTTTTAGTACCTTTTATCATAATATTCAAATTTAGTTCTCGTATTATTGTGGCATGATCAATTTTGGTCCTCTATCAACAAAACAATTTTAATGCAGTTAAATACAAAGGAATTTTGGTCTTCAGATCAATTACGGATTTTTTCAAAAAAATAAACATAAAAATATAGCGAGATCAATTCACTTTGTATAAAAATGATCGAAATATCTTTATATTTAACGACATTTCAACGATTTTGTTGACGGAGGACCAAATATGATCAGGCCACAATAATACTATAACCAAATGTAGATGTTCTGATAAAAAAAAAAGACTAAAAGTGGACTGTCATATATAAATTTAGGACTAAAAACGGAATTAACTCAATATAATAACTTATATATTGTGCTTATATTCTTATATTCTTATATATTCACATTTTTTTTATACATTTTTTCTTAAGTTGTTTATAATATAGGGTGTTGGTCCCAAAAGAGGTAAGGTGAAAGTCTAGGGGGGGGGGGGGGGGGGGGGGGGGAATAGACTTTCAAACTTTTTCGCACAACACAACAATTGCTAAGACAGAGATAAACCAAAACTCATAACTAGATTGTTAGAGTATGGTGCACAGCGGAAATAAATAAACATAAAGTGTGTGTGAGATTGTGTGAGCAGTATATCTTCGTGAGAGCGAATATGTAAAGAGCGATAAGTAAAGAAAGCAGTAAAGAACACAAGACAATTATAGTGGTTCGCGAGGTGGTGTAATCCTCCTACTCCACTTGCTCTTTTCTCCAAGAGCCAATTCACTATATCTACCACTCCTTGGTTCCAAGATACAATGAATTTCCGTGATCTAGTGCTTTGATCACAAAGCCCGCACTAATCACGCCCAGTGACACCACACTGCTGCTTTGGGTTTCACGTCGCCGCGCTACTATCCCAGGATTTCACGACTCCGCGTTACTTTCCCCCCGTCTTCCACACTCCGGTAGAAACGTATCCCGTGATCTGGTGCTTTGATCACCAAGCCCACACCAATCACGCCCAGTGCCTCCGACACTGCTGCTTCGGATCTCACAGTTCCGTGTGACAATCCAGGATTTCACAGCTCCGTGCTACTTTCCTCCCTTCTCTTGTTTTGCTCCAAAACAAGTGTTGTCTTGCTTCCAACGTCTGAGACTCTGTAGATGATCTTCAATGATGCGAAGGTCTCTTTGATGAAGATAAACACTCTGGAATGATTTCTCTTGATAGCTCTGAGTGTTTTCTCTCTGTGAATATATCAAGTAAAGCACTTGATATTTTTGCTCTGCTTTGCTCTGTTTAAGAACTCTCAGAATATTTCTCTTTTGAAGCTCTCTGAGTTCTTTTTCTTTTCTCACTTCTCACTTGAAGATTTTTGGTATGCTCTGTACCAAATGAGATTTTTGCTCTATGCTCTTTTCAATCTTAATTGCTCTATTCGATCTCTTGATGAGTTTCGAATTTTCTGCTCTCTTGTTCGTGAGTTCCCTTGTCTTCAAGTCTTCATATCTTCATCATTTTATAGCTGGTAATGAGAATCTGTCCGTTGGAAAGAGACGCTCTCATTTTTGAAATCTTGTATCTTTTTGTCAGAGATCTTATCTTATCTTCTGCAAAGATGTCAGAAAGGATAAGCTAGCCGTTGTTAGAGCTTCATCTCCATGTAAATGGGTTCTTGAACTTCATATGATATTTCCTCTGGTTTTACGTTGAGTGGGAATATCTGGGTGTAGAACGGCTTCTTTGATTAGCTCTGAAGTGGTCCTTGTATCTTTGAGATTTAAAAATATTCTTCAATTTAATCCCATACTAGTTAAACTAGTATTTTTCCTTGTGAGAATATTTTCATTGTAAGTTCATCTTCATCTTCTTCATTCTCACGTCTGGGTGTTCTCAGACTTCAAACTGGCTTTGAACTTCCACCCAATTTGAATTTCTCCATTGTAATTGACACCCAATTTCATAATTGGCACCCAATTTGAATTTCTCTATTGTAATTGGCTCCCAACTGCTCCTGGTGCTTTCAATTGCTTCCCAATTTGAATTGTTGACTTTGACTTTGACTTTGAAATTGGCTCCCAGACTTCTCCTGGTATTTGAATTTCATGGTCCCCAACTTTGAAATTGCATCCCATACTACATCTCATACTACAACCTCAATTGGCTCCCATATTGAATTCAATTCTACATTGGCTCCCATATTGAATTCCATGGTCCCCAACTTTGAAATTCTACATTGGCTCCCATATTGAATTTCATGGTCCCCAACTTTGAAATTCTACATTGGCTCCCATATTGAATTCAATTCTACATTGAATTTCATGGTCCCCAACTTTGAAATTCTACATTGGCTCCCATATTGAATTCAATTCCCATTTCAATTGCTTCGAACTGGCTCCCAATTTCAATTGCTTCGAACTGGCTCCCAATTTCAATTGCTTCGAACTGGCTCCCAATTTCAATTTCTATGAAATCGGCTCCCAAGTGCAATTGCATCTCAATTGCCACCCAATTTCCACTTGTAATTGACGCCCAACTCCATCAGATTAATTTAATTTGACTTCTCAAATTTTACCTTGTAAAATTGTTGGTGGTGAGTTTTGAACTTGAGCCATTTCAAATAATATATCAAGCATCATCCACTTCGTCCGTACAACTTTTAATTAAATCTCTAATCACATTTGATGTACTTCTTTCTTTCCATAGATGCTTGATCTCCAAGTCAATT